CATTCAAAAACCCCACAAATCCCATCCCATGGAAAAATTCCGGGGGTTTTGAAGCCCCTCCAAGCTCTCTGCAGCTCTGGGGGGGTCCCCGGGGGCGCTCACCTCCCTTTGCGGGCGAACTCGATGGATTTGATGGCCGTGGTGTTGCTGGTCCCTGTGGTCACTCTGAAGGAAGCAACAAGATCCTGAGTGTCTGTTTTTAAGACCAAGATCTGAAGATTGAGCAGACAGAGAACAATCAGTGGGGTCGGTGTCACCCGGCTCCCTCCCGGATTTGTCCCTAAAACAGAACCCTCAGAGCCCACCCGAGAACAGGAAACTGAAAAAAATCCCAAAATGCATCAAAGATGATGGGAACGCAAAGGTCTAAGTCATAAATCATAAATTATAAATTATTTATGTTATAAGATATAAATCTCAGGATTGCTGATGTCAGAAAATCCCTCCAGGATCATCAGTCTGGGCCTGATCCCCACCCTGAGTGCTCAGTGCCACCTCTGGGAATTCCCTGGGCACCACCAGGAATGGGGACACCTCCAGGGATGGGGACACTGCCAGGGATGGGGACACTTACAGGGATGGGGACAATTCCAGGGATGGGGACAATTCCAGGGATGGGGACAATTCCAGGGATGGGGACACCTCCAGGGATTTGGACATTGCCAGGATGGGGACACTTCCAGGGATGGGGACACTTTTAGGGATGGGGATGCCCCCAGGGATGGGGACACTTCCAGGACCTCCTTGGACACCTCCAGGGATGAGGACACCTCCAAGGATGGGGACACTTCCGGGAATTAGGACACTTCAGGAATGGGGACACTTCCAGGGACGAGGACACTTCCAGGGATGGGGACACTTTTAGGGATGGGGACATCGCCAGGGATGGGGACATCGCCAGGGATGGGGACACCCCCAGGGATGGGGACAATTCCAGGGATGGGGACACCTCCAGGGATGGGGACACTTCCAGGGATGGGGACACTTCCAGGGATGGGGACACTCCAGGGATGGGGACACTGCCAGAGATGGGGACACTTCAGGAATGGGGACACATCCAGGGATGGGGACACTTCCAGGGATGGGGACACTTCCAGGGATGGGGACACTTCCAGGGATGGGGACACTGCCAGGGACGGGGACACCTCCAAGACTCCCTCGGGCACCTCCAGGGATGGGAACACTTCCAGGGATGGGGACACCTCCAGGGATGGGGACACTTCCAGGGATGGGGACACTTCCAGGAATGGAGACACTTCCAGGAATGGGGACACCTCCAGGGATGGTGGCTCCACACCCCCCCGAGCAGTTCCAAAGCCTGACCGCCCTTCCCAGGAAGGAATTCCCGCTGCAGCCCCACCCGCCCTGCCCCGGTGGCACCCCGGTGGCACCCAGGGACACTCAGTGCCCACACAGGGCTGGAGCTGCGGGTGCCTCACCTTGCCCTTGGCGTTGCCGGTGTAAATGTATTCCCCTCTGCGGTCGAAGGACGCCACCACGTTGAGATCAGAATCGTCATCCACGGGCAGCACCACGTGCTTGGAGTCAGACAGGGTCAGCATCACCGGGGCYGACTTCATGGGACACACCAGCACCCTGTTCCTGTGAGAGAGAAGGAAAAGTTGGGAATTTCTGCTCTGGGAAAGTTTTTCACATTCAGAGCAAAAAAAGTGTCCATCTGGATCAAGGAATGCAGAATATCTCTGTTTTTGTTGTCTTATCTTTGGCATTTAAACAGCAAAACGATGTTAAATTTGGGTCTGCTTTTATTTCCTTTCCTTCTCCAAGTTTGTGCAGCGATTTTAAACCCAAGGACACGTTCCCACAAACATTCCCAAGAATTTCCTCCCAACCTGCTCCTCTCCCACACAACACAACGACAAACCCGATCCCGAAACAACTCCACTTTGGGATTGCTAGGTTCATTTTTCCATTTGGAAAACAGAACAAAACCCAACCAAGCACGGGCTCCACCCCACTGGGATCCCCCATGGCACTCACTGGTCCCGGGGGTGGTACTGGACTTTGAGGATGGGYGAGGGGAAGCGGAAGCGTTGGTCACAGTCCCCGGACAGCACATCCCACTGGGACACGATGTTGTCAGTGGAGGCGCTGACCAGTTTGTGCCCGTCACGGCTCCAGCTGAGCACAGAGAGAGGGAAATCCCGTTAAAGGCGGCCCCAAAATGCAGAGGAGAAGGAGCAGAGGGAAATGTGACAGCTGGGGAATGAGGGGAAGGCAGAGGGAGCAAAGGGAAAGTGTAATTTCCAATAAAAAAAGGAGTTTTGGGATGGTTTGGTTTAGGGTGGA